GCCGGGAGGGGGGTCAGGGGGTGGAGGAAGAGGCTGCCGGTGAAGGGGGCCCAGCAGAGGTTGATATGTTGAGGAGGGAGGGAGGGGGAAGGGAGGTCAGGGGGAGGGAGAGGCTGCCTGAACTCGCGCGACGCCCGTTGCCGCAAGTCTGACTGCGCGGCGACGCAGATGGGGGAGAGGCAGGGCGGGTTGGAGCAGGTGACGGCGAGGCAGCCGCCCCGCCGCAGGCACCGGGTCATCGACTTGAGCAGCCGCTGCAGCGTCACGCCGCAGCAGCTCGCGCCTGCACACGCCGGGCGGCCAGGCGAAGGAACGAGTGGCGTGGCTGGGCAGAGGTGAGGAGGCAAGGTGGGCGCGAGCCGCGGAGGGGGCGAGGGGTGGGCGCGGTGAGCGCGCGCGCCTGTCCCGTCCGAGCGGCGCGCTTGGTCCTGGCAAAAGGCGGTGACCAGGACGAAGAGGGCGTAGGCGTCGAGCCCGCCCTCGCTGCTGGAGCCGACGTCGTTGGCTCGCAGCACCGACTCGAGGAAGCGGCAGAGTGGCGAGATCTGGTGGTGCGTGGAGGCCATCGTCATGACGAAGTACCTACGGGCGGTCCGGGTCCTTTAATTCAAGCAGGAACTACCCCGCGAGCCTACTTTCGTTTGATTGGACCTCGCAGCGGGCGTGAGCGAGAGCAGGTCGAGCTGGTAGCGAAGCGGGTCCGTGGCGGTGAGAATGTAGGCAGTGAGGGTGTCCGCGTGCTGTCGCTTCCGGTCGATGGCGTCGCCCTGCATTGCGGCCTCGGACAAGATCTCAACAAGTAGGGTGTCGCTGGACAGCGGCCGGCACGGTGAGGCACCACCATGGCACTTTGTTGATTTGGTTTCTTTTTTTGAGAGCGCCTTCGAGTAAATATCAAGGCTATGTGTGAGACAGTGAGTATTCTTGATTTGCATCTTCTCCCTTTTTCTTTTTTTTGGAAAATCCAAGTTTCAAGGATGTACATTTGCGAATAACATCTCACTCACCGACAACACACACGTAGACAGAGAGAGCTTTCATTTAATAGCTTTCCCTGGTTGCGTGAGCGAAATAAATAAATAAATACAACGGACATCCCAAGCTAGGGCTGGGTCGAGGACAGACACGTCCCCACCTTTGCAGGATTTTGCAAAAGCGAGGGGGGAGGGCGCATCGCCGTGCGGAGATGGGTCGTCCGCCCCGAAGTATTCAACCGCCACTATCTCATGGTCTTTCCCGCATACTCCTGGCATGATGTGTACGCGCCCCATCACATTCGCTAGCGCCGGGGTGACTATCCAGTTGTCAATTTGCGTGCCCGCTCGGTACGTTGCGTCGTTCGCCATCGCTCTCAGGTCTCGCCCCACTTCGGTCAGCATGCTGTTGAACATCTTGTCTGAGAGAGTCCGTTCCTTTTTACCTCTGCTTTGTAGGAAGGCCTCCGTCTCGGCGTTGAAGTCTCCACCGATCATGTACTCCCCGTCGATTTTGCCATCTGACCAGTGAGCGCCTCGTTCACATTTTGATTTTTTTCTCGATGTCCACCCCGCTCGCGCCGCCTCGCCCGAGCCACAGACGCTCCCTCGCCCAGCACGCCGCCGCCCACCCGCCTCCTCGACCTCCCCACGGACCTCCTCGCGCGCGTCCTCTCTCACTTCCACAGCCCCATCGACATCGCTCGCGTCGCGGCCGTCTCGCTGCTCTTCCACGCCTCGCTTGCGCTGGAGGGCGTCCGCTTGTGGGCGCAAGAGCGCGGCTACGAGCTGCCGGCGCAGCCAGAGGATGAGAGCTGCGCCGTGCGGTGGCTGTGCTATTCGGCGCTGCTGCGCGAGTCCAACCCGCCGGCGAGGGTGGCGGCAGGCAATATGCACAGCGTCTTCATCGGCGGCGAGGGGCTCTCGTCGTGCGGCTGCGCGCCGCATCACATCCCAGGCCTCCTTGGCCATGGTGAGGGCGTGGCACGGCTCAACACGCCGACCCGCCTCCCGTCGACGCTGGGCGGCGAGCGCGCCGTGAGCGTGTCGGTTGGAGCATGGCACAGCCTCGCCCTCACCGGCGGCGGCGCCGTTTGGAGCTGGGGCCAGGGAGGCTTGGGTGCGCTGGGCCACGGTGACCAGCAGGGCCAATGGCAGCCGAAGAAGGTCGAGGCATTTGATCGCCGCATCGTCGCCGTTTCGGCGGGATGTCACAGCCTCGCCCTTACCGCCGACGGAGCCGTCTTAAGCTGGGGCTATGGCCATCTGGGCCACGGCGAGCTGCAGCTGCAGCTGCTGCCGAAGAAGATCGAGGCCTTGGCTGGGAGGCGCGTCGTCGCGGTCTCGGCGGGAGGAGGTCACAGCCTCGCCCTCACCGCCGACGGCAGTGTCTGGAGCTGGGGCTACGGTGGCTTCGGCCAGCTGGGCCACGGCGACGGACAGAACCAGCTGCTGCCCAAGAAGATCGAAGCCTTTGCTGACCAGCGCGTCGTCGCTGTGTCGGCTGGAAACGACCACGGTCTAGAGGACCACAGCTTCGCCCTAACCGCTGACGGAGAGGTCTGGAGCTGGGGCAGTGGCGCATCTGGCAAGCTGGGCCACGGCAACTCGCTGCGGCAACTGCTGCCCAAGAAGGTCGAGGCCTTTGCTGGGCAGTGCGTCGTCGCTGTGTCGGCGGGAGTGCGTCGCGGCCTCGCCCTCACCGCCAACGGCAGCGTCTGGACCTGGGGCTTTGGAGGGCGAGGCCAGCTGGGCCACGGTGAGACGCAGGGCCAGCTGCTGCCCAAGAAGATCGAGGCCTTGGCCGGCCAGCGCGACGTCGCTGTGTCGGCTGGAGGCGACCTCAGCTTCGCCCTCACCGCTGACGGCGCCGTCTTTGCCTGGGGCAGGGGCGACCTCGGCTGCCTAGGCCACGGAGAGGACCTGTCGGACCAGCTGCTGCCCAAGAAGATCGAGGCGTGGGTGCGGGACTGAGGTCGCGGGCATCGTGCGGTGGTCGCGTAGAGTAAGAGACGCAGACGGCACCCGACCACGCAATGAAAGGAGCGCCCACAACTCGAGGTACAGTACGGATGTGACTGTGATCTGTGTCGAATGTCCCGGCCTCCCATCTCGAGCTCGCGAGGCGCTCGAGTCGAGACATACGTGGTTATGACTCAGATCTCAGATTGCAATTATTGCGACATGCGCGAGTGTCCCAGTACCTCACTTTCCTGCTTCCTCTCTGCCGCCATAAATAAACAAACGAAAACGCACACCTCTACTGTGAGATGGGTAAAAAGGAACAGGTCCCCGCCGCCCGTGGCCGTGCGCCGCACCCGATCTTTGTGCAGGCCGTGGCCCGTGTGCTCCGTGCACGTGTGCGCACCTGCAGCCAGACGCGAGACGGTCCTCTAGACTCTTCGCTTCACCGAATTCGAAACGAAAAGAAAGAGGCGGCGTGGTCACACTGAGACACTGACACACAGGCTGTTCACAACACCGGCAGTACAGTGCGAGGCGTGGCGATAGAAATCGGGGCCTCGGCATTCAGCAGCCGATTTCTGTTTCGGCGAGGGAAATCGGGCAAGCCAGCAGCCGACTTCTATAAGCGCGATTTCTGCCAAAATTTTCTTCGGCGCTGCGCGCCGTTCACTATAGTCCCTATTATACGTACGAGTACACACTAAAAGGTTGCGCCTGATACGAATTCAATCTCCCCTCTTTGAACCCACTAAAGGTAGCGGCGGGTCGCACAAATATTCTCTCGTCATGCGCTTGCGTCCGCACCCACGGCCCACGCTGCAAGCATTCATTTATTTCGTGTGTGCGTGCTCGCTCGTGCGTGCGCCGACCGACCGAACCAAATTCTGCTTCAATCAACAAACCCGTCGAGACGCTCTTCCACCTACAGTTGCTCCTCGCCTCGTCGCTCCGATCCCGCCTTTGGCGCCGTGACTTGGACCACCAAGAGCTGGCTGGGGCTGCAGAAGCAGCGCATCTCAGTCGTTCTTCACACGGCCATCGCAGAGCAGGTCGTGAATGAGCTTGCCTGTGGCGGGGGTGGGCGGGTGCACGGAGCTAAGTGCCTCGCCACCCTCGCAGGAGTCGCTTAGGCGGCTCCCGTGGTGTACCTGTGTTAGTGCCAGTGCGCGCCAGTCCCGTGCCCAGTGTTGTGCGAGGGAGTTTTGTTGTAAAATTCTTTCTCTTGTTCGGCCGAGGCATTCTTTTTCTCGCTGTGAGAGAGAGTTATTTCTAAATTCTTTTTCTCGCGAATGACCAACCAGGCTAAAAGCCGCGTGATCCCAGGATACCCCAAAGAATCCTTGCGCTCGCGTGTTGGCAACGGCTCCTGAGACGTGAGGTAGCGCCGCGGACCTCCGGCTCCTGCCGCGTGCTCGCGCCGCGCACCCACCGGCCGCCTCTCGCGCTGCCGCTCAGGACGTCGAGAATCCACTCTCGCTGCGCAATGGACCAGGGCGGAGTGGGGCAGCATGGACCCATACAGGCAAACGGGGAAGGGGGGGGACTTTTGCCGCCAGCTGCCCAGCCCCTGCCGCATAGCGCGCATATTTCCTTTGCTCTCCCCTTGAGTTCCCGCAGCCAGCTGAGCCCGCCTCGCGCCCCTGCACAATACTCCCTGCTCCATTTCGTGCCAGGCGCCCTCCGCAACGGCCCTCGCGGTGCTGGGCGCCGAGGCGCTCGGCTCCTCGCAGGGCGCGAGCCCCTGCAACCGCGCGCCCTCCGCCACCAGCGCCTCCGGCAGTGAGACATCGACAACCTCTTCACAGTCTTCGGACGGCACCGCGGACCTACCCGAGGTTGGCGCCGCGCCGTCGAGCTGCAGCGGTACGTGCGTATGGGACCCAGCTACGGTCGGCGAGTCGAGCGAGACGCCGCTCGAGGACTACCTCGGCCGCGCCAGGCGCCCCTGGGGAGGGGCCCGGGGAGAGGGAGGGGGGAGAAGAGATCTCGCCCCGAGAATTAATGATTACTGTTTGGCCACGTGGCCCGCGCCAGGCGCCTTTGGGGAGGGGCCGGGGAGAGGGAGGGGGGAGAAGAGATCTCGCCCCAAGATGAATACAGTGAATGATTACTGTATTGGCCACCTCGCCCGCGCAGGCGCCCCCGGGGAGGGGGGGGGGGGTATCGTTCCCCGAGATTGACATTAATAGAACTCTGTTATTACAACCGCAGGAGCGACCTCTCGGACTCCCGCCTGCGGAGCGTGTGGGAGGAGGCCGCCCTATCGGCCCTTCAGTCCAGCAAGGGAGACCACGCCGCGGCGCTGGCGGTCTTGCGGCTCGAGGAGCAGGCGGCGGCGGCGTCGCTCTTCTCTTCGGACGAGGTGGATGAGCTCCGGTCGCTGCACGCGCGCTTCGGCGGCACCGACCTACGCCTCGTCACGAGGGCGCTCGGCGGGCGCCGCTCATTGGCCGAGGTCGTCGCGGCGGCATACAGATGTTTGCCTGCCCTGCGGAGAGACACGGACGTGGAGACGGTCTCGCTGCGTAGCCCACGCCAGCCGTCGCTTGCGCGGGCCTCCGTCGCGCGGGCCTCTGTCGACTCGCTCACCTCACTCGGCGCGATGATGGCGCACCGGCTGATCGAGGCTGCCCCCGCGGCCCTCTCCGTCGAGGCCGCCTCCGGCGAGTGGCTGCTCGCCGACTTGTGCGACGACGGCACGATTCTGCACTTGCCGGCCGATGGCGGCGTGCCGCAGCGATTTCGATCTCCCGGCGGGTTCGTCCGCTTCCTTCGCCCGTGGTTGAGCGCGGCGTCAGTGGAGGGGGGAAGCTGGACGGCGGTGCACTACAAGGGTTTGCCGCTCGACCTGATCCGCAAAGCCGCCACCAGCGATGCAGACGCGTTGGGCGCGGTTGCCGCCGCCTCCGGTTCCCCCTCTGACGGCCGCGAGCCCACGCCACTCTCGCCCGGCGGCGCCGCCGCCAGCCAGCTTCGCCAAGCCTTACACGCCTCCTACCTGTTGGAGCGACGCACCGACGGCGCGCACGAACGATTGCTAGTGGACGACGCGGAGTTGGAGACGTACGAAGTGGATTGCATCCTCGATCGCCGCCGCTCCAAACGCATGGACGGCGGAGCCTACGAGTACTTGGTATCGTGGGCGGGCTACGGCCCGGCGGACAATACGTGGGAGCCGCGCGAATCCCTGCTGTGCCACGAATTGGTGGAGACGTTTGAGCTGGCGTTCGAGGCGCGTCGGCCCGCCGCCTCCCGCAGCCACGCCCGCCCCGCCGGCAACCGCGGTCGCGGTTCCTCGTCGCCGTGCCAGCCGAGGAGGCTTCCGAAAAAGAGGGAGCATGTTGCCAAGCGACGCGCCTCGCCGCCGCAGCCCTCCCGCGTGAGCAAGGCCGCGCGGGTGCCGGCGGTGGCGCCGGTCGTGGACCTCGTGGCGCTCGCAGCCAAGGAGCGGGAGGAGCAGCGCCGCCCTTGCATGTGCAGCGCGCCCTGCCGGCTGCAGCCGCTGATTGAGTCTGGTTGCATCGTGGCCGGCTCCCTCGCGCTCTCCGTGTGCATCAAGGGCGCGCTCACGTCCGCCGATGTGAGCGAGACCGGCGCGATCCGGCTCCCCTCCTCTTCGGGCGGCGGCGAGCTGCTCGAGCTCCAGACTCCATGCGCGCTGCTCCGCGTGGCACGCCGCCGCGCGGGCGTCGCCGTCGACAAGGGGCCGAGCGCCCGGACGACTGTGTTTTACAAGGGCGTCAGCCTCAACGCGCTTGCGCAGCCTGGCCAGGTGCGACGCGACCGCCGCAGCCGCGCGGCGACCTAAATAGGCGTGATCTGCGAACAATTGGTGTGCGGGGTGTTGTGCGTCGCCGCCGAGCCGCGTTCCCTTTGTGCGCAGTGTTGATAGAGATCTGTTGATTGATTGATGGGAAGGCGAAACACAGTCCGACCAACGACTGGGCGACACCAAAACGCGGTATGGGTGGACGCTAGACCGTAGACGGGTGGTGACGTTCACACAGGAGCGACACACAGAACCACAATCAGACAAGACACTCAGCCAACGTGGCTGCCACACATCCTGAGCGGACTCCCCTAGTCACCCGCGGCCGGACTCCATCCGGCACGCGTCGCTGGGCGCTCAGAGCCGCGTCCCCTGCTCGGCCACCCCGACGCCCAAGGGCCAAGGCGCCCGAGTCGAACGACAGGCGGCACGCGAGGACTGGTTGCAATCCCGCCGACCGCGAGGCCGCGGCGCGCGGGATGATGTGTGCGTGGTCGTGTAGTGGGTCTCGGAAGCTGGTAGAAACTCGATTGCGCGGATTGTGCATTCAGTGTTCGTCCTTACCTTCTGCTTTTCTATCACATGATCGATTGCGGATTGGACGATTTGCCTGCAGAGTCCGCGCGCGCTCTTTCTCCCCTTCTCCCCCCACCTCGATAGGAACTAGGAAAAACACTCTGCAGGACGCTTGCGGGGCCACGGGGGGGCCCACTCGATCCACCACGGCAAGTTCCTCGCGCCGATAAGTTTCGCGCCGACAATGGCAGCGCGTCGCAGGCCTTCCCCTTCCCGGAGGAGTTCTGGCTTCAAAACTACGTGCTCAACGAGGGGCGTGGGGGCCGCCTGGCGCTGCCTGTTCGCACCCGACAGCTCTGCCTCCGAGACGACGCGCGCGGCGAGACCCTGCTCGCCGACGGCATGCGTGCACGGTGAATAGCGCCACTTCACACCTCACGCCGTGAATAGGCGAGACACAGCTCGTCTCGCCTGCCATGGTGGACGCAACCGCGAGCGGGGCGACCGAGTACTTTGCCGTGAAGCGGGTTCCGCGCCTTGTCGACCACCCGATCGTTCGACGCATCGCACAGCTCACGCGCCCGGCGGCGCCGCCGCCCCGCTGGCCGCCCACGGCCCCGCCGCCTCTGCCGCCGCCGCCGCCGCCTCCACCGCCGCCGCCACCGCCGCCGCCACCGCCACCGCCGCCGCCGCCATCGAGCAGTCTTCACCGGGGGTTGCGTTCGCGTTTTGACTCGCCGCGCCACGCAAAGGGCGGGGCGGCGCTCGCGCGCAGACAAGTGAGGCATGCCTAGAGGTCCGCGAGGTGAGTGTCTTGGGGTGTGTGATATTTGTGTCCATACGTAGTGTGCGATCTTCTTACACGTGTCGACATGCGCCGTATCGCGTATGTGCGCCAGAGTCAAAAAACAAAAGCCCCATCAACAATGCCACCCGTCCCACGCCCAAATACCAGACGAAAACGGGGTCAAAACGGACAAGCAAACGCGCACGGTTTGGAGGGAGAGCAGCTCTCTGGGCTTGACAGCCTTGCCAGCTTCTGATCAGTCAATGCTGATTACACTCAGTCTCCTTCTTTCTCTATGCACTGTCTGTGCAGCACTCCATATACGCGTCCGGCGACAGCAGGAGCGCCCTCTCGGCCACCCGCGAAGCGGCGCGCGCATCCCCCGACCTCCGCTGCGCGTCCCTACCTACCCCCCTTACCTTACCCCCCCCCCCCCCCCCGAACCCGCCGCCGCCCGCCGCCGCCGCCGGGTGTCTGACCTTCTCACGATGTTGTAACGATCGCCTTCGCACGATGGGCTGCTTCTCCAGCCGCGTCGAGGCCCCGACCGAGGAGCGGCTCTGCGCTCCCGCCGTCGAACGCGACGCCCCGACGCCCGCCGACACCGCCGCGCCGACGCAGCCGGCCGCCGCCTTCCCCTCCGCCACCGATCTCGGCGTGAGCGAGGAGAAGCTGGAGGAGTGGCGCAAGCACAGCGGCGGCGACCTGGAGCCGGTCCTCGCGAGCGGCGCCGTCGCCCTCCTCGACGCGCAGTGGATCATCAGCCACGCCGAGGCGGGCGGCGTCCTCACCCACCGCCAAGCGCTGCCCGAAGAGGCCTTCCTCTCCCTCGCCGATCTCGTCGAGGCGACCACGGGTGCTGGTGGGCTTCCCGTCGCCGCGCTCTCCTACCCGTGGCTGACCAAGGACCACCCCGACCCGCGCGGAGCCAACCTCTCCCGTGTCGCAAGGGCGCTCAAGGCCCTGCTCAGCGGCACCTACCCGGATGGCTCGGCAATGTTCCCGCGGCTCGGCGTCTTTTGGGACTTCGGCTCGCTGCACCAGCACCCCGATCCCGCCAACGGCGTCCTGCGCACCGAGGAGCAGAACGCGCTCTTCAAGCAGGGGCTGGGCTGCCTCGGCACGCTCTACTCCCACCCGTACACATACGTGCTGCGGCTGACCTCCTTCCCGGACGGCCACGCGGCGGAGGACCAGATCGAGGGCACCAACGTGGCCATGTACTTTGACCGCGGCTGGTGCTCCACCGAGAACGCCTGGGCGAGCCTGACTAAGGCCAGTTTCCTCTCGCTCGACCTCCGCCTGATGCGCGACGGCAAGGAGTACGACATCTACAGCCTCCGAGCCGACTGCACCCAGGACGGCGGCCGGCGCCCTCCGCTGCTGCCGTCTGCGTTCGCGGCGGAGCTGGAGACGAAGAGCTTCACCAACGGCAAGGACGACAAGCCGCTGGTGAAGCGGCTGTACGAGGACACCTTCGAGGAGCAGTTTGGCAAGGCGGCCAAGCTGTTCTACGTCCAGCTCGGCTGGGGCGACGCGGAGGCGGCGAAGCTGGCGGAGGTCCTCGCGAGCGGGGCAGCGCCGCGGCTCGAGGCGCTCGTTCTCCACGGCAACAACATTGGCGACGAGGGCTGGAAGGCGCTGGCCGCCGCCCTCGAGGAGGGAGCAGCGCCGTGGCTCAAGAGGCTCGATCTCCGCCGGAACAAGATTGGCGACGAGGGTTGCGAGGCGCTGGCCGCCGCCTTCAAGGAGGGGGCAGCGCCGCGGCTCGAGACGCTCGAGCTCTACAGCAACCAGATTGGCGACGAGGGCTGCAAGGCGCTGGCTGCCGCCCTTGGCAAGGAGGGGGCAGCACCGCGGCTCGAGATTTCCGCGTTACAGCATTCATGTCGCCGATGATGAGCACCCTCTCGTGCGTGTCGTGTCGTATCGCTTCTTTGAGCTCCTTCCACGCCTTGGCGATTTCGTCATTGCTCTTTCCTGTATCGGGCATATACGCGCCGTACACGCTGATTCGGTGTTTCCCATCGAGTGTTTCGAGTATCACCCTCCTCACTCGTGCAGCGATTATGTCGACCTCCTGTTCTGGTTCAACTTTTTTGAGTTTGTCGGTGTTCCATACGATGGTCACGCCATATCTCGTTCGCCCGCGTCCGCGCTTGGCGTTTTGCGGGTCGCTGCTCGTGCCCGCCCCCGATGTTGCTCCTGTCTGCCCTGTGTTGGCGTCGGCGTCGGTGTCGCCCTCCCTCTCGCCGCAGGCAACGCTGGTTCCATACCCCTCAAGATCCCATCTCCCTATCACTGCAGCTCTCTCGTCCTCTGTCGTCGTGCTCTCCGAGATGACTCCAAGATCGCCGCGATGGTCATTCATCATGTTGATTACGCAGGCCATCGCTTCACTTGGAGTGGTGGCCAGGTCCTTCCCATTGCCCGTTTCTTTTCTCCTGTATACGTCACTTTCTCTGCTTACCATGTGCTGGCCGGGTCGGTTGTATGCGAATATTCGGATCCTCTTGATATCGGCCTTGCTGTTTTGCCGTCCCCTTCCGACTGCGTCGCCTTCCTCGCACGCACTCCGACGTCTCCCAAGCATCCTCTCATTGTCTGTGAGGGTCCGGTGCCGCGGTATCGCAAGGCTTTGCACTCTCAGCTTTTGGCGTCTCACGGACGCCGTCGCGCGAACGCCGTCGTTTTGAACGCCTCGCTCGTTGGTAGCTCCTCTCTCGTTCTGCTCCTCTCCCGTGCTTGTCCTCCCATTGTCTCGGGTTGTCGCTCTCCTCTGACGCAGCCCTCGTGTCGAAGTGGAGGGTGTTGGACCCCTTCTCCTCGTGGTTGACTGTGTGATTGGCATGCAGCCCCGACCCCTCTCGTTCATCCTGCGTCGGCATGCGCTGGCGCGGCTGGTCGGGCTGTCGCTCTGTGGCGCATGTCGTCTAAGGAGGTCTTCCTCGCGGCATTGCGCCCGCCGAATACTAACACGCTCGCGAAAAGAAATTCGTTGAGAAGAGAAACGTCTCGCTGAGTCATCAGCGAAGCCGGCGGGGGATATCCAATCTCGTTCCGCTGTGTATCTCGCGCGCGTTGGTCGAAGTGCAACATGGCATGTAGTAATACATATTTTTCGTCTGCAGATGCCTTGTGCCCTACAATGCCCGCCGCTGGGAGAAAAGAAAACCATCGAAAAAATAAATTTGATATCCGGGAGTGTTCATCGAAACTATAAGTGGGGTCCCACGTCCTCTCAACTGCATCTCCCGTGTGTGTCGGGCGGGGCGAGTCGGTCTGGCTCATGTTGTGGTGTTGGCGTCTGCGGGCCTCTGTGGTGTGGGCACTGGTGTTGGTCCCCATCTGTGTGTGTCCGGCTCCCACGGCGCGTTCAGTGTGCGTGTCCCTGTGTGTTAGTGATGGGTCGATCCCCGTACGCCCTGGCCCGGTCCCGCCCTCCCGTGTCGCCTTGTGTTCCGCTCGCGCGCGAGGGTCCATATTCCTTGCGCTCTCTCCTCTCTGTCTCTCTCCTCGTCGCGCGCGCCTTCCCTCCGGCTCTCTCCCGCGCATCTCGGTGCGCGGCCACGACACGCCGCCTCCTGCCACGGCGTCGTCCGCCTCCTCGTGTTTCACGGGTCGCGTCGGTCGCATTCCGCTGGATCTCCTCGCCGCGCGGCGCAGCCCGTGTCTCTCTTTTTCTATCCTCGTTGGTTCCTGTCGCGCCGCCGCTGCCTCGCCCCCGCTCGTCCGTCGCCGTTCCTCGCCGCCTACATCCCGGTCGCCGTGGTACTCATGTCCTATTCTCTCTGCTGCTTCTGCGCTGTCACCCTGCCCCTCATCTCCATGTCCCATCGCATCGCAGTGTCGCATCGCACTGCGCCTATGGCTTTCGGCTCTCGTGTAATGTTCGTGGCTGGCGTCGCACGCGCTGCTGATTCTCTCGCGCTCGCGCCTCTGTCCTCTCTGGTCTCCTCGCGGCGGCTTGGTGGCCTGTGTGCCCTCTCTCGCTGGTGCGGGTGCTCTAGTTTTCTGCGGCTTGCGGTGTGGGCGTTTTGCCTCGTTTCGATTCAATTTTCGCGCGAACCCACAAGCCTGTGGGCCGCTATCTGATGGCCTCCAGCCGGAGGCCCCATCTCGGACACCAGCCGGTGTGCCGAGGACCAGGTCGTACGCGGGAAAACTCATGCCGCCATGGCGGAAAAAAATATCGCAGCGGTCAAGTGCCGTAAGGTAAGGTAAGGGGTAAACTTCTCCACACACACCGAGGTAAGGTGAAGGCAAGGGGGGAAGCTAAAGCGTAAAGGTACACGACCCTGACGTGCACATACTTCATACACATGTAAAAGCTACAAGTACGCATGCGAGATTTACCCACAAACGAGACAGTACATGCACACATGATGTGCATGGTATTTCCAGCAAGCCCCCCTCCCCCCGCCCCCCCCCCCAGCGTATGGGGCCATATCTAGAGAGATCCCCGCTGCGCTGCGCTCTCCTGGAGCGGACTGCCGACGCGACTAGCCGGCTCAACGCCTTCAGATGTCGCCGACAAACTCGGCGCCCTCCTTGGAGCGCTGCAGCCACTTTGCACAGTTGAGCGCCGTCGGCACGACGATGACGGCGCCCGCGGCGGCGCCGAGCAGTTCGTCGGAGACCTGGACGCCCGCGACGAGCGCGGGCAGGTACTTCGCGGCGTAGGCGAGGCCGCCCGAGAGCGCGAGCAGCTTTGCGAGGAAGGCGGCGTTGCCGTCCGCCGCCCACGCCTCGCCCAAGTCCTCCCACCCGACCAGTGCGGCGGCCTGCGACGGCGGCGGCGCAGCGGAAGCGGAAGCGGCGGCGGAAGCGGCGGCGGAAGCGGCGGCGGAAGCGGCGGCGGAAGCGGCGGCGGCAGAGGAGGCGGCGGACTCATCGGACGCTGGTGCAGACGCGGCGCCACCTTCTAATGGCGACGCCGCCTCGCCCCGGGCGGATGCTAGGAGGGCCGCCCAGGCGGCAGCTGCCTCGTCTGCGCCCGCCTGCCATGTCCAGCCACTGGCGAGTGCGAGGCGGAGGCAGGCGAGCGCCAGCGTGGTGTTGCCGACACACGTCATCGCCGCCTGCAGGAGATATGGGGAGATAAAGGGAGATGGGGGGAGAAAGGGGGAGAAAGGGGGAGATATGGGGAGATATGGGGAGATATGGGGAGATATGGGGAGATGCGGTATCGCTGCCTGCAGCGTGACGCACCACGCGATGGCGGGCGCCTGCAGGAGATATGGGGAGATATGGGGAGAGGTGGGGAGATGTGGGGAGAGATGGGGAGACGGCGGGCGCGTTGTAGAAGAGGTGGTACGTGCACGCGACAATCCCCGACGTGTGGAGCGGCAGCATGCCCCAGGTGACGCCTTTATTAATTAACGAGCGTTAATGATTAACATTGCACTAATTAACGAGGCGCAGCATGCCCCACGTGACGCCTCTCCACCTGGGTTGTGCCACCGCGTCGGCGTACCGCCAGGCGAGCCCCATCGCCACAAGCCACTCCACCAGCGACGAGGTGTGAATGACCCACGTGGGCATCGACAGCGCGTTGGACGGCTCCGCGGGCCAAAGCCCGGCGGGCGCGTTGCCGATCCCGCCCAGCCAAGGCGTGTGCACCGAAGCCCCGCCGGAGGCAAAGACCGCCACCGCCGACAGCGCCGAGAGGGAACCGAGCGCGGTGGCGGCAGCGCGGAGCGACGCTTCGTCCGCCGCCGGAGCGCGCACGCCCTTCTCCTCCACGTCGATCGCGTCCCGAAACCCGAAGACGACGACGCAGTTGGTGATGGCGAGCAACGACTCGGCCGATCCATGCAGCCAATCGGCGTCGGCGAGGCTGACGCCGAAGAGGGCACCAGCGCCAATCGCCGCCGGGATGGAGCCGAAGACGAAGGCCAGCAGGAAGGTGAGGCCAAATGTCACTCCCGGAGGCGCGCCAACCGTCGGGTGCTTTAGCCAGTACAGCATCGCCAGCCACGGAAAGAGCGAGGCGCCAAACAGAGATCCGGCAAGCTCGTCAGCGGTCGAGGAGAGGGCTCCGCCGCCGTCGGCTAGCAGGAGGAGCTCTGGCGCGGCCAGCGTCACAGGGCCGGCACGCAACGGTGAGGTACTTGCCGGGCCAAGCCGAGGGAGCAACGGAGTGAGCATGTGCTGCCGATGTGGATGTTCTCGAGGTCTCGAGGTTCTCGAGTGGATATCGGCTGGCAGCGGTCGTCGGCGCTTAGCGATGTGGAGGGGAAAAAAGATTTTAAACAAGACAACTCTCTCTCACAGCACACAGGCTCGACACAGGTGCGAACTGGCGCGTGCTAGTACTATCACCGGCACACCACCGGAGCCGCCTAAGCGACTCCGTTAAGAACGGCAATGCACTTAGCTCCGTGCACAATGCCGCTGTCCCCGCACGCTAGCTCGTTCACCGTCTGCCACGCCACGGCGGTGTGGAGAACGACAGACAAAAAAGAATAATATGCCCCCAAACTGTCGTGCCGTTCTCCCATCCCTCCCTTGGGTTGTGTGTTTTCTTTCTTTCTTTCTTTACTCCCCTTTCTCCCGGCCGGGGCGGGGCGCGCGCGTAAGCACTGCCAGCGGCGCCGCCGGCGCATCGACGCCGCCGCCCCGCGCCCTCCCGGCTGCAGCCTCGTCCCGACAGCCTCCGTCGGCCCGACTGCTCTGCGGAGCTCAGCGCTGCCAGGCGGGAGCAAGCGGTGGAATGGGCGATCGCCTAAAGGACATGTCTCGGACATGACCTGGACGTGGCCTGGACATGTCATGGTGATACAAACGGTCGGCTGGGTCCATCAGCACGAGGCCCGCCCTGTCGGGCAGCCCCGCGAGCTCATGATGCCCCACCGAGAGGCGCTGACGCCCCGCCGAGATCGGGCGGCTTTCGGACGAAAATCACATGGCGCCAAGGGGGGGGGTCTAGGGGGGGGTCAAGTATGGTACCCTAGACGTTTACGGGATTCAGCTCGATGATATGCGGGATTCGATGATATGCGGGACGTTTACGGGATTCAGCTCGCCCACGAGGACAAGTGTGCCATTATTTTGGATCGGGCAGACCGCTTCGAGGCACTTGAGCACTTGAGCACTGGATAGGGTCGATTCCGCATGGTACGGGACCCCGTATTACAGGCGTAAGGCGGAGCTCCTCCAGATCTACCGCGACTGGGACAGTGCCGAGGTGGCACACACAGCACAACCGCATCCTCGATGAGTTTCAGCGACGCTCCGGTACCCTGGATGGTCGTGGGTATTATAGTGACCCATCATATGTGTATTATAGTGACCCATCTATGTGATACCAAAACAGGGCCGCGGGGGGCGTTGCTGGGGGGCCGCTAGAGAGGTGTCCGTTTTTATTTATTTATTTATTTTGGGGCCGCTCCAGGGTCCCTACCAGGTTGC